CTAGGGATCTGGGACCGAGTCCTGGTCATATAATGTTACAGATAATGCATATATATACATTTTGGTCGAATGAGAAACAGCATCGAATTCTGTGACATGGACAGTTAAGACGACCAATAGGAAGTAACATTTGAAATGAAATTGACAGTCCGGATGACCAATAAGAAACAACATTGGAGCACGTGACATTGATTACTAGGACGATCATAAAATTGACCAGTAGGAATTAACTAATAGGAATTGACCAATAATTCTCTTAGGATATTGGATGAATATCCTAACACCTCTTCTGGTTCCTTAAGAAGCTCTCTTCCACGATGTGGACAGTGCCGAGAAGTGAAAACCGCTCTCATACCCGTAACAATAATACACGAGATCAAATTGGTCAAAACCAAATCTTTATTTGCTTTCTCATAAAGTATTATATTACAATCCCATTTACATGATTATATCAATGTTTACAGTTTGAATTTCTTCATGAATTAATTCAACTAGAATAATAAATGAACATAAAAATCAAATCTAATCTTCTCTTCTTTTTTCTTTTCTCTTATGAAAGAATGGATTCACCATGTCAACAGATACACCTGGGCCTATGATGTTTCATCCAGTTGATTCATCTTCGTATTCTATGTCGTCGTCGGCTGGTATTTATGCAAATCCTACACAACCTGACAATCCCAATGGTAATTTTGCACAAATTCCTCATAGTGGTGGTCATGTTGCCGCCGCATCACAATTGTTTTCTGTACAGCAACAGCAACAGTCACAGCCACAACACCAGTCACAACAACAACAACAACAATTTTATGCAGCATCAAATCAACAACCACCCGTCGCATCGTTTGATATGGTTCCACAACAGCAACAGCAACTACAACAACACATCCAGTCATATTCATCAGGCAGTCATAATTATGAAGGTAGGTGGTTGGTATTAAAATGACTGTAGTATCTATTATTTGTTTTAACGCTTGCTTAAATACTAATTCCCAGCTTAATTCCTATTGCTTAGTATTATTCTCTGACCACACAATACACACTGGACAAGTTCCAAAGAATCACTAAAACACGGTTGGACAGGAGGAAGATTATATTCCAAATAGCAACAATGTTAAATGGAAGTAAGAAACCGAAGGTGAAGGCAAAAATAGATACAACGGTAGTGTTCTTATAGTTTTTACATGAGATGCTTCTGGAATGTAATTCACGTGATTGATTGACTAGCACTGACCAGATTAGATTTAGCCAATCAGCATGCAGCTAACAACACGAGAATTTTCGGGTAAAGTTTTGGAGGTTTGTGTTTTTACACATTTGAAATCATCAATCAATCAATCATTGTTAGACCACCATTAGAAACCTGGAAGCACTGGAAGGTGGCCGTTTCGTCTTGGTGTGGGACTCATCAGTGGCAGTGCGCATCCACGACTCCTGCACCTCGCAGGATTCGAACCCGGGGCCTTCGGTATTGTGCGCGAACGCCTAACACCTTTCGGATGCCGGCCCAGCGGTCCGATGGTTAGGCGTTCGCACGCAAGACCGACGGTCCTGGGTCCGATTCCTACGACGTGCAGGAGTCGTGGATGCGCACTAGCACTGATAAGTCCCATGCCTTGACGAAAAGGTTGTCCAGTGCTTCCAGGTTTCTAATGTTGGTCGAACAATGATTGATTGATGATTTCAAGTGCGTAAAAACACGAGAATTTTCTAGCCTGTTTTCCAAGTTTGGGCCAGGCGCTGATTGGATAGGAAATTAGCTAATCAGCGCGCAGCTAACGCAGTCATGTTTTATTTCATCTATGTCCCACCAACAATTATTATTATTATTATCATTATTTTACCTTCCAATTTCATTCCAATTAGTTGTAGTTTTTGCATCCAAATCTGGTTCTTTGTGTTTTTTTGATGAAAGAGGCATATTGACTTTGGCATCATTGAAGATTTTTTTCTGTCTCTCTCTGTCAATGTTTACTCGGAACACGTTTTGTTTTTTTGTTAACTAGATAAACTTTAGAGAAACACCAAAAAAACAGTGTAAATAACCATCAAGGTAATTCAGCTCATCCTATGTCTGTATGTGTGTGTGTATGATTTCGTATCGAATTACATCATCATTTGTCAAGAGATCAGGAATAATGTTTTGCCTACTTGAATCGTTTGTATTTTAGCGGTACGAAGTGCGAATGTTTGGTCATGTAGGTAAGAGGGTTATTAAAGAGTATACGGGGAGTGGTAGGAAATGTGATTCTGACTCGTTTGATCCTGAGTATGCGGGTGGATGTCACTTCCTGGTTGCCTACACCGATTACGGCTCATACTTCTACGACTACTACTACGACGACGACCTCTACCACTTTGGGATTGTATGTTTGTGCTACTGTGGTGTGTGCTACTTATACGAACGATATAAGTAGTATAAGAAGGGGGGCGTGAAAGAAGAAGTCTCACGGTCAGAAGAGGAAAACGGAAAGCAAATGGAGCAAAAGCAAGAAGTAAATGGAGTACCAACAGGAAGAAGTAAAGGAAGCAACAACAGGAATGGAAGAAGGATGGAGCGTTGGAAGTCACGACTCAAAGATGGTGTGCAAATAGAGTGTTCAATGTAATGTTTTCGTTTTTAACTGACTCAGAGTGTAAATTTGCATAAAACAATCTTCCTCGCCTGCCTCAGTCTTCTCACTACTACTACCACTACCTCTAACATTTTGGGATTTGAATGGACAGTTGTATGTTTGTGCTACTACCGTTGTGGTATGGCAACTGGAACTGATATCCGTACGTACATGCGTACTAAGTTCTACGTTGTCACTGGTTGACTCAGTTTTTAGTCTACCATTTTGATGAGAACGATGTAAATTTCTACCTGACGGGGTCGCCAATCCAATGCCATAATCCCTCTTCGTTTACCCGCGGGCTTTGATGAACCAGCAGTAGTAGCCCTTAGAAAAGGGGGCTTCAGGGAGAGTTTAATCAGTAGTATGAACATTTATATTTCTTGGTTTGTTTGTTATCGCTACTCAAATAGTTGATGTATGGATTAGTGTATATATATGTATTCTAATTCAATTTAACTCATTATCGTGTTTGATTAAACCTCTCTCTCTCTTGTCCCTCTTGTATCTTATCTATTAGTTCCAACGTATCCAGTAAATGGTGCACAGTCTATGATGTATACAGATCGACAGAATACTGCTCTCCCAGTAGTAGCACAACAACAACCACAACAACTACTACCGTAGATCGCATCTTTAAAGAAAAAAAAACAACCTGTATTGGACAATGTAAGTTCTATGAGATGGGCAATCATATTCGTGTTGATTTTTTTTTGTCCATTTTCATTGTATGAGTTTACAATGTAAAATCAAAATGGATATTTGGATTTCTTGTTTTAATAATAATATGACATCGCTTATACGCGAACCTACGTCACTTATGGCGTAGGCGAGATATCCGTTTGAGCTAATCAATGGAAGGGTGTAATGCGCAGTAGTTCGCTCCGTCCTACTTTATGGCTGCAAAACAGGGCCAGTAAGAGTAGAAGATTTTTGTAGGTGTTACGTAAGCACGTCAACTCGATATACTTGAACTATTACGAGTTAACGTTAGCCGTAAACGAGAGCGAGGATCGAGAATCCGCCGACACGACATGCTACTCAAATCCGATTATCCCAACCCCCAAAATTAATAAAAAATAAGAAGACGTGATATGAAGTAGAACCTGTATTCTACAAGCATCCAGAAAGTACGAGGTCCGAATCCAGAAGAGAATCAGGATCCCGAACTAGGGATCCGGGACCGAATCCTGGTCCTGGTCGTGGTCATAAAATGTTATAGATAATGCGTATTTATACATTTTGGTCGAATAGGAAACAGCATCGTAGTCTGTGGCATTGACAGTTAAGACGACCAATAGGAAGTAACATTTGAAATGAAACTGACAGTCCAATGTCCAATAAGAGACAACATTGAAGTATTTGACTTTGACAGTTAAAACAATCATAATTTTGACCAATAGGATTTGACCAGCAATTCTCTTGGGATATTGGATGAATATCCTAACAGTAGGTCACTGATTTTCGAACAAAGGTGTCTTGAAAGCAGTCCTTGGTATCATAAGCAACGGTGTTGTTAGGAAACGCTAGGTAAGTATGGCAGATCGATCGATGTAGTACTTAAACTTCCTTAATTAATGTGGTTGGGACATGGGATATATGGCCAACCACCGACTACCTTGACAAGCGATGTTGGCTGACTCAGGGGTAGACTGTAAGAAATCCCAGGGGGAGGTCAAACCAAAACATGGCACAAAATCATAAAATCACTGACATATGAACTGTGTCATGTTGTTAGCTATCGACTACCTTGTCAGGGCCCGCGAGATGACAGCAATCGATGTTTAGAGACCCTGAATGACATGGCTCAGAACCGTTTGCAATGTCGCAGGTGGATTCATTCTTCGTGTTCTGTCAAATCGTAACCTTCTGGATTCTTCATCACCTTTCTCTTTTTCTTTTTTAAGTTTATTTCACTGGCTTATACTTCTTGAATAATATCATCGAACCCTAATCTCCCGGATTACTGCTCATACTTCTACTACTATGGGATTTGAATGGACAATTGCATCTCTTTGCTAATGTTGTTTGGCAACTTGAACTGATGTACATACGTACGAAGTTCTATGTTCTTGTTTGTTTGTCTTGACTTGACCACCACTCAGCTATCTTGTCGCTGTTATAGTTATTCTTTGAACTCTGTGTACAATTGCTTAGCTAGCACCCAAAAGTTAGAGCAAGTAGTTAATTATAGATTCTTGAAATAAAAACAACCGGATTGAACAGAACAATTGTCTCATGTTTCTTTCTCTTGCAGCCTTTTCCGCCATCGTTGCTAGATCCTCCACGTATTTTCGTTTGTCGGCTCTGATGCTCTTCTTCACTTTCCTGTTTGCTTCTGTGTATTCAGCTTATGCCTTAACTTTCTCTGCTCTTGTTCGGCTGACGTAGATTGAGGGCTATCTTGAATTCGTTGAGTTCTACGGTATCCCGAATAAAGGCCGTATTAAACTGCTGTGATGTAGGCGTAGGCTTGATATCCGTTTGGTAACCAAAGGATGAGTGTACTGCACATCAGTTCGCTCCGTCCTACTTTATGGCTGTGAAACATGTCCAGTTAGATTAGAAGATGTTCGTAGGTTACTGGTTTTTGATCATTGGTGCTATAGTTAGGAATCGACTACTAGGTAAGGATGGCAAATCAATAGATGAAGTATTGAAACTTCATCAGTTGAGGTGGTTGAGACATGTGTTACGTATGCCTAACCACCGACTGCCTCGTCGAGCTATGTTTTGCGGTGTACAAGTAGGTTGATAGAAAGCTAGTGTCCAACAAACAAAAACATGGCAGGAATCCATGAAGTCAGTGACAACTGGAGTAAGTCATGTTATTAGATGTAGACTACCTGGTTGGGGTCCATGAGACGAAAGTCACCGATGGTTAGAGACCTTGAATGACATGACTCAAAATCGTTTGCAGTGGCGCAGGTGTACCCATTCTCTGTCTCCACTCAAATTCTAATCTTCAGAATTCCTTATCTCTGTTTCTCTTTCTAAATTTATCTTACTGATTTATACTTCTGGAATCATATCTTCGCTCCCTAATCTTCACTATTACTGCTAAAACATCTACTATCGCTACTACTATGTGATTTGAACTTGCAGTTTCGTCTGTATGTTCATGCGGTATGGCAACTTCGACTGATGTACGTACGTAGGAAGTTCGATCACATTATTCAAGAAACATAATCTATTGAAATAGATTTAAAAAGATAAAGTGATGAGTTATCCGAAATGTTACGATTTGATAGAACACAAAGGGTGGATGCACATGTTCCATTACAAACGATTTTGAGCCATGTCGTTCAAGGTCGCTGACCATTGATTATTATCATCTCGCTAACCCCAACCAAGTAGTCTACATCTACCAACATGACGCAGTCCACTTGTCAGTGACTTCATGGATTTGTGCCATTTTTTGGTTTGGCCGCCCCTAACTTTCTTCCAACCTACTCCTACACCACAAAACATAGCTCTAAGACATCTATGATCGAATACCAGAAATCTACGAATATCTACTCTGACTGGCCATGTTTCTCATCCATATAGTAGGACAGAGCGAACTGCTGCTCAGTACACCCGTCCTTTGGTCAGCAAACGGATATCTCTCCTACGCCATAAGTGACGCAGGTTGGCAAAATCCAATCGAGCCTTCTGTATCCGAGCTGAGATTTCGTCAGTCACCAGGCCATCAGCACTGATGAAACTCCCCAGATAAGTGAAGCAGTCTACACGTTCGACTACTTCACTCCCTATCACTAGTTCAGGTGCCGATGCAACCCAGTCTTGAAGCAACAATTTGCATTTCGAGGGGGAAAACCGCATCCTGAACATGCTCGCATTGTTGCTTATGGCCACCCCTAACGTTCTTCTTCACCAATTATACAACAATCTTATCAGTATTTTCTCTTTTTTTATGTTTCTTATTTCAGCTAGGAATAATGATAATAATAATCATAAGCTCCACATTTCTACTTGTGAAAATGAACAATCTACACACACTATGTCAAGATGCTCTTTTTTTTCTCTTCTGTGCTTGCTATAAAATATCACATAAAAACCATTATTAATAATTATTCCTCCAATACAATGAATGACAAAGTTGATTTCTTATTCTTCTTTTTTTTTGTGTGTGTGTTAAACATTCTCTCTTCAGTTGAATTATTATGATGAATTGTGTCTTTCAGTTTACTTTATACACACACATATATGATGAATATCCAGTTCAGTTACAATCCTAACAACAACCACTACTACTAATATTACTACTCATTAATAGTTAGTAGTAGTTGGTTCACATGGTGTGTACTCTCTGTATACTTTTATTTCAAATTTACTCTTTATTCTTATCATTTTTAATTGATTCTATTGATTATAAATAATAATATTAATAATAATAAATAATTTTAATCTTTTCATCAGGCTTGTATGTAGAAAAGATTTGATTTGATTGTGATCAATTTGGGGTCTTGTGTGCTTTTTGTGGGGGGTATGAAGGCGAATGTCACTTCCTTGGCTGCCTACACTATGGAAGGGTTTTCTGATTGTCAGATGGGGTGGGGGGGGGGAATCGACCTTATGACTTCCGAAGGAATTCGGCTTTCATTATGAGACGACATAATTTTTGCAAATGAAGACATTCTAACTCCCAGAGTCAAGTTTATATGGTTTGAATTGTTTTTTTCTTGTCAGCGTTCTTTTGGCAAGTAAGTCTTTTCTAGGATATGTAGTCGCCAACTCACATCTCAACCCTTCTCTTTTACCCGGGCTCGGGACCGGCAATATGGTCCCGAAGGGTCTACAGGCGGAGTTGTATGTAGTATACCAGTGTGTGCGTCTTTCTCTTTCATTGTGCTGCTGATGTTGTTGTTTAGAAGAACAACGAAAGCTCCACAACCACAACATTTAGTTCAGAGAACGAAATACCACAACAATCATCCACCTGAGCTACAAATTTTCTCCAACATCTCCTAATAATAATCATACATATTACCCAAGTGAGAATATTCATCGCTACAACACTTGTTAACGATATCAAAGATCTAACACCGTTGGATGCCGGCCCAGTGGTCCGATGGTTAGGCGTTCGCGCGCAAAACCGAAGGTCCCAGTTTCGAATCCTGCGATGTGCTGGAGTCGTGGATGCGCACTGCTGATGAGTCTCATATCAGGACGAAACGGCCGTACAGTACTTCCAGGTTTCTAATAGTGGTCTAACAATGATGGATTGATGATTTCAAATGTGTGAAAACACAAATCTCCAAAGCTCTAACTGAAAATATCTTACAGAATCACAAATGTTTTTTTAAGTAAATCCAAGTCGGAATACTACGCATAATTCGTTTAATCGTCAATGAGAACTCTAGTTCAAGCGGCAGTGAGCTATTTTAGAGTCACAATAACCGCAGCTTCTTAGTTATCATAATATCACAGTCAAGATTTCACATTATTAAGCTGTTTAACAGTATGTGAGTTTGATGAGGGCCCCCCTTACCATACTTCGGACAGGTTTACAACAAACAATTAATTGTAGCAGCAAGATACTTCTGGTGCTTACATCGTTATGGATCAAATCAACCAGTAAGCATAATAAGGGAGAAAGTAAGAGTGCACGTGTGTTCGCTTCACAATAGGGAATAAAAGTGTTTTAATTATCATGCTGACAGCGTGTTTGCGCCCTGCAAAACAAACCGTAATATTCATAACTAGAGAGTATGTAAAAGAAGGTCAGATGTACCATCCATTTTTACCAAACTTAGTACTGAAGGAATCAAAAATCTTTCTTGGTGGTATAATAAGTAAGAGTTAGGCCTAAATAATCAGTTTTTACTTGATTAACGGGTAATGTGGTTTAGTTAGTTAATTGCCAGGAATAGCCAGTTATCTGAACATAGTTGCAGTAGACGGTCACCATTATCTGTTCTTTAGGTCACGACTACCTTAGATCCACCCAAATGTCTGCCCTTCTCGCTTAGTCTACTTACATGAGTAACTATAGTTGGATTATGCTTATGTTCTAGGACCTGACGTAGTCTGAGAATTTGGTGTCTATACAGCCGCGTCCAACTCGGAAACCAGCCTGGTTTCCTCTAGTTTGCTCTTCACGAGCTCCAATTAGGAGTCCAAGTATAATCGAGGCTAACAATTTACACACTATATTAGTTAGACTTATTCTTCTGTAATTGTCACAAGAGGACTTTTTTTCTTTCTTATAAATTAGGACAATCAGGGATTGGGACCAGTCAGATGGGATTACGCCTAGTTCCCAAATTCTACCTAAGATCTCAGTCAATCTAACTTCTAGAACTGGGCCACCATCCTTAAAAATCTCAGGGGTCAGCTTGTCACGCCCTGCTGCTCTCCCTCATAGCTTTCTCAACTTCACAAAGAGTCGGATGACTTACGTAGATTTGTCATTCAGAATGACAGGAGATTGTAAGTAACCGAAGTGAGGCTGTAAGCCAGTTGAACTGATCCCTAAAGTGTTCTGCCCATCGATCCAACCTCCTGGATTAAGAATCAATAATAAGCCCATTCTTTTCAGAGATAGTTTCACTAACGGTTTCCTTGGTGAGTCTGTAAAGTTATCTACTGTTACCTACCGCAGTTGCCATTTAAATCTCTCTTGCTTTCTCTGCCCACCATTGTTCGCGATCAGCGCGTATGCTTTTTATTAGCTTGCGTTTAAGATCTCTTCGTCATGTTCAGCGCCAGACGGCTTAAGTTTCCAAGTATCTATCAGTTCGGCAGACGCTACGAAAATCCTTAACCTTATGGTTACCCTACTAGCAGATATTACCGCTGTTTCTACAGCATTGTGCATATCATCCCAAGCTGTCTCAGGGTGGGCATCATTTGCATAACTGTCTTTATCTGGTCGCTCTCGAAACATACTCCTGGCTTTATTATCATTAAGTAGAATCCTAAGAGGTTTCCTTGTGGTGTCTTTCCTACGTCCAGCAAGCCGCAAACATACGCCCTCGCACTAGAGCACGGTCTGAATCTTAACAAGTGCTTCAGAATGGAAGACGGTCCACAATGTAGCCTCCCCATCGCTGGCCGATATTGATGTGATCCAGTTGGGTCCATCGGTGAGTCGCCTTTGGGGGTCACCATTTCAAAAGATGTTTTTCCTTATGTCTAACGTTAGTGTTCTCTAGAAATAGGCGGTTATCTGGACATAGTTGCAGTAGACGTCATGATCCGTTCTTTGAGCCACAACTTTATAAGATCCACCCAAATTTCTCTGCTTTTCACCTAGTCTACTTACATGAGTATTAAAATCATCCACTACTTCGACTAGATAAAAGCGCCTAACTTTTTGGAGGAGATTCGAAAGCTTCCTGTAAAATTAATCTTTTACCTCGTCCAAGCTGCAGTCAGTGGGAGCCTAGGCATTCATGAACATATACATATATATATTCATAGACAAAGAGGTCATCGAATATCAGGACTCAGATTCTAAGGAAAAACAGTTAGAATGCATTTATGTGTCATCATGACAAAACGATTTTCAGCTATGTTATCGACAGCCTCCAATCACGAACCATCCAAGTAATCTGCAGTGCTACCTAGACGATTCAGTGAACTAGTGTCATGTATCCATTTGGTTGCCTCTGGTTTTTCAGCCTACTCATATACATTGAACGACTTTAAAAATGAAGTACACAATAATGTTAGTAACCTTCTATAATATGATTATTAGATTCTTCAACCTTCGTCAACTTGTTATAAATATATTTCAAATAATTTTAAAAATGATTTCTCTGAATTAGAATATAACTACTACTACTCTGTTTGCCAAACCAAAACAGAAATCCATGAAGTCATTGACAACAAGTGGACTGAGTCATATCGGTAGTTGTCGACTACCTGGTTGGGGTCCGCGAGATGATAATAATCGATGGTTAGAGACCTTCAATGACATGGCTCAAAATCGTTCGCAATGGCGCCGGTGCATTTATTCTTTGTGTTCTCTCTTATATCCTAATCTCCTGGATTCTTCAACACCCCTAGTTTTGACTTTCTAAACTTTTCTCACTGAATCATCATACTTCTTGAATAATATGTTCTAATTCTAACCTCTCCGACTACTTCTAATACCTTTACAACCTCTTCTACTATTGGATTTGAATTAACAATTATATCTCTGTGCTAATAATGTGGTATGGCAACATGAACTGATGTACTTACGTACGAAGTTCTACGTTGCATCTGACTGACTGACTCTGTTACTAGGCAATGAACTCCAAATATGCATTCATCACACACAAACACAAATCAAATATGTACATTATATACAAAATAAATGCTAAAATTAAATAGAAACATTAAATAGAAAAACTACACATGACAATATTGTGTATTAATCAGGCTATTTCATTCATTTGTACTGTTAATCATCTTGAAAGTACCTAGTTTAAAAAGAGTGATCGTGTTACGGTTGCACTTAAACAGGTCAACTTGATATATACTTGAACTATTGCAGGTTTACCTAATCAGAAAACGAGAGCGAGGATCCGATGACACGACATGCTGCTCAAATCCGATTATCCCAACCCCCATATTTAGTAAAAAATAAGAAGACTTGAATGTGGAGTAGAACGTGTATTCTACAAGCAACCAGAAAGTACGAGGTCCGAATCCAGAAGAGAATCAGGATCCTGAACTAGGGATCCGGGACCAAGTCCTGGTCCTGGTGTAGTGAAGGAAAATACAGGTGAGGGCAACCGAATTGTATTTAACGAAAATTACAGAGTTACTCAGTAAAATCGGAAAACCATATCGTAAATCGTTCATTTGCAAATCTTCAATCAATCATCAATCCATTGTCTGACATTTCACTTATTCATGCGTTTGATACAAATTTCATTGTGTTCCAACTCTTCCTTTCTTGACCTTCCCCCATCTTCTGCTGCCAGACCTTACGTTTACACTCGCGTCATATACTACTTATAAGTAGCGCGCACCACACTGGTCCTAAAACGTTACAAATAATGCGTATTTATACATTTTGGTCGAATTGGGAAACAGCATCGTAGTCTGTGATATTGACAGCTAAGACGACCAATAGGAAGCAACATTTCAATTGACATTGATAGTCTGGAGAACCAATAAGAAACAAGATTGGATCATGTGACCTTGATATCTAGGTGGACCATCAAATTGACCAATAGGAAACTAACCAATACGAATTGACCAATAATTCTCTTTTAGGATATTGGATTGAATATCCTAACAAGATCATTAGTTAGAAAAGATCGATAAAATATTATTATTATTATTCTTTTGGCTTAGAATAATCATTCAAATGAAATGTATTATTACTATTGCACAATTTATTCCATATTTGTACACAATCATCATGTTGAAATGGATGAGTGCAAGGTAATGTAATCATATAAAATATAAATGGGAAAAATATCAATAATAAACACCAATAATAATAGTTATGATAATAATCATTTATCATAGAAAATGATAATATCCCATATCCAAGTAATAATGAATTCATTAAAATACTAATCAGCATCAATGGTTCAGGATAATTGAGAATATGTTGAATAAGAATGCGTGGATTTGAAATTGGACAAATCAGAGCATTTATACCATCATGATGCTGTTGATGATGATGATGATGATGGTGAATAGTGACATAATCAAATAACAATGGAAATCGATACAATGAATCAATGATAGCATAAAATAATAAAATATATGGAAATATATAATAAAATAATCCACCAAATAGAAAACATACTAGACAAATAATTGGATAACTATATAATGCATAATAAAGATATTTAAACCAATTAAAATCATGAAAAATATAAATAAATAATATAGGATAAATGAATAGACACATCAATGCACTCAACATATAATATACTAATGGTATTGATGTCAATGGAAAATTCACTTCTGATATACAACCTGATGCAGCTAAAAATGGGGCATAGAATTCTTCAATTGTTTCTATAGGACAATGATATAATTTGAAACTACCAAATGGTGGATAAAGAATTAATGTAATGAGACTTGTGAATGTATGAATAAAAATATTGCATAGAATTAGTAGACAAGATTTTTGATGAATAGAAGAGAAGTTTTTTGATTGTTTCATGTATATCATCTTTAATGATGATGTTGATGTTGTTGATGATGATGATGGTGATAGGATTGGTAAAGTTAACAATAAAAATATCACAGGTAACAGTGTTAAAAATCCAAGATATAACCAACCGTGTAATGATAATGAAGATAAGCATAATTCACAAATACTATTATCATATTCTTGTTGATGATGATTGATTCTATGAAATACTTTTGATCCCCATGTACATGATGTACATATAATACTGGTATTTGTTAATCGACCACAAAATTTTCCGGTACACATTGGGAAAATAGTTTCAGATTGTTGGTGTTATCGTTGTAGTTGTAGGTATTGATTAGATGATTCATGAAAGCATCTCTGTAACAAGTTTAAATATAATAATAATAGAAATAATAATGATAATAATAATAATAACCGATTAACATCACAGCATTACAAATTAATTTAGTAAAAATAGTTTACATACTGACTAATTAGTATTTATGTACTTTACTTATGGATATTAGTCAGTCAGTCAGTCAGATGCAACGTAGAACTTCGTACGTAAGTACATCAGTTCATGTTTCCATACCACATTATTAGCACAGAGATATAATTGTTAATTTAAATCCAATAGTAGAAGAGGTAGTGAAGGTATTAGAAGTAATCGGAGAGGTTAGGATTAGAAGATATTATTCAAGAAGTATGATTCAGGGAGAAAAGTTTAGAAAGTCAAAACTAGAGGGGTAGCTGCTACCTTGATGTGGTGGTCGGGCTTGCCTGTTGTGATGACCCAACCGAGCTATACTGGCTGGAACATATGTTCCTGCAGGTCCTACCATGCCTGGCAGGTCGATTAGAGAACGATGAGACTAAAAGCAGCTACCCAAGGTCTGAGGGCGAAGTCGTACTGCTGACTGACTGTGGAGCGGTGTGACAGCAGTAAGGTTTCGCCCTCGGACAACCAGCATCTGCAGCGATGCTGCCTTCTCACAAGGAAGAAAGGGTTAGAAAAGGTCGACCCTAAAAATGTCATACCTCCCCTACGTCACGGATTTCCGTCTCCTTGGGTTAGGGTGTCCA